TTGCTATATATAACCTTTGTATATTATATATTGTTGAGTTAGGATGTTCTCTGCAGTTTGTTCAGGCTTTTATAATAAAGGTATATGAAAGCTATCAAATGGTTTTTCTGCATGTATTTGATAATCCGATGATGTTAACTTGTTAATTCGCATATGTTAAACCATCTTTGTCCCCCTGAAATGAAGTCAACAGGATTCTGATGTGTGATTTTTTTTTTTTTTGATGTGCCATTGAGTTTGATTTGCTGGTGTTTCTTTTACGATTTTTGCATCTATGTTTATCAGTAACATGCTGGACTATAGTTCGTTCTCCCTTGCTTTTGTTCCCTTGTCAGGTCTGAATACTAGCAATGCTGGTCACATACCATGTGTTGAGAAGGGCTCTTTCCCTAACTCTATGTAATAATTGGGAAAGAACTGGTATTAGTTTTTGTTTCATTTTTCCCACTCAAAGTTGAATGAAATTCAGCTGTGAAACCATCTAGTCCTTGGCTTTCCTTTGCTCTTGAAACTTTTTTTTTTCTTTTTACTCACTCAATTTCATTGCTTGTTACAGGTTCATTCAGATTTTAGAAATTAAACAATAAAAACAGATAAAATGAAAAATAAAGAAGTTATACAAACACATGCATATGTACTTGGTTCAATTTTGGGCAGGTCTTATGTATGCAGAAATAGGTTATATTTCTTCCGAGTTTTCCAATTTATTGGCATGTTTTTCTTCAAAATAATTCCCAACAATTCTTTTTTCTGTATCATAACCATTGTCTCTTTCTTCATCTTTAATATTATATAGTTGGGGTCACTTCCAGTTTTTTCTTATTTTAGCAAAAGATTTTTTTTTCCTCTTCAAAGAACCATTTCATTGACCATGTGTTCTTTTGGTTTTCCTCAGATCTTAATTTCCTCTAACTAGTTTGGCTTATTCTTTTTTGACATAGGCTCTCATTGCTGCAAACTTTAGTAGTGCTTTGCTGCACCCCCAAATTTGGGTAGTTTCCATTTTCACTTCTTTTAAGGAACTCTTTTTTTTTGGGGGGGGGTCCGGTCATGGGGCCTGAACTCTGGGCCTCGGCGCTGTCCCTCAGCTCTTCAGCTCAAGGCTAGCGCTCTACCACTTAAGCCATAGCACCACTTCCGGCTTTTTTCTTTTTGCTTATGTGGTGCTGAGGAATCGAACTCAGGGCCTCATGCATGCAAGGCAAGCGCTCTACCACTGAGCCACCTTCCTAGCCCAGGAAATCGTTTCTGTCTTCTGCAATGACACCCCCCCCCCACGATTTGCACAAAGGTGTGTTTTGTATAACTTCTAACATTTATCCCATTGCTGACTTCCAGTGCCATTCTGTTGTGGTCTGAGAAGACACAAGATGATATTTTCTTCCTTCAGGCCTAATATATGGCCTATTCCAGAGAAAGTTCCATGCTGTGATGGAAAGAATGTGTATTCTTACTACTACTGGATGGAATGTTCTATAAATATCTGCTACGTGTGTTTGATTCATAGTATAGCTTTGATCTTTTGGGGGAGGGCCAGAGTTGGATATCTGTCCATTGATGTGTGGGGCTTTTAAATTCCCCACTATTATTTAATTGGAGCCTATCTCTCCTTTTGTGTCTAATAGAATTTTTTTGAATAAAATTAGGTGTTCTGGCAATAAGTGTGTGTAGATTTCTCATCACAGTATTTTCTGGGTGTTTTTCATCATTACTTTGTCTCTTTTAACGTTTTTCTTTTGTCTTACCTGTTTCGTCAGATGGCTTCTCATGTTTTTATTAGGATTCCAATTGCTTGGAATATAACATTCCAGCCTTCATTTTTAGTTTTTTGTCTATACTGAAGCAAGAGTCTGTAGGCAACATATAGTCTTGTTTTTATTTTTGGGTCCGGTTGTGGGGCCTGAACTTGGCCTGGGCGCTGTCCCTCAGCTCTTCAGCTCAAGGCTAGCGCTCTACCACTTGAGCCAAAGCACCACTTCCGGCTTTTTTTCTTTTTGCTTATGTGGTGCTGAGGAATGGAACCCAGGGCCTCATGCATGCAAGGCAAGCACTCTACCACTGAGCCACCTTCCCAGCCCCGAGTCTTGTTGTAATATGTATCTTTTAAATAGAGAAACTAATCCATTTACACTCAAGGTTACTGTTAAAGATTAGGATAAGCTTGTTACTTTTTGCCCATTCCTCTCATTCACCTTTGTAGTTTGACAGTTTACTGTATCAATCTCATTCTTTTCTATTTTTCCTGTGTGTCTACCCTTCTAGACAGAAACCAAGGGCCAAATCTGGAGGTGAACTCACTGGGAGATGATGCAAAACCCTTGCTTACTCAAGCTGCAAGCCTGGAGAACCTTCTGGTATCACCATTAACCCTGCAGAGGGAGTTCTCCATTCCACGGCTGTGGGGCCAGGATGTGCTTTGGTGCCAGGGTTCTGATCTTACAAAGTTCCAGTTTCACTCCTAATTCTGGTATTTTCCAATGGTCACTTACCTCAAAATATGACTAAGCATACATGGATTTTCTTTGTGAGGAGCAAGTGAGTGCCGGGTGCCTCTTTCCAGACATCTTGATCTCTTTACCACACTGCCTTCACACCAAGCTAGAAGTCACTACAGAAAACCCAACACCTTGAACCTCACCTTCATTTTAATTTCTAGTAACGATCACTTCTGCGCTCTCTCAATTTTGGGTTGGGTCCTTTCCTTTAAACTCAACTGTGTAACTAAGAACTCAACGCTGTTCCTTGGATTTTAAGTTAGGGCTGGAGCGAGGATCACAAAAACAAACAAAAAAACAAAACAAAAAAAAACCAACATAGAGCTGGAAGCATTGTTCTTTAATGAGCCGTGGGGTGATTTGTTGTCAAGCTGCTCTTGGGTGGCTGTACAGTGCATATTTTGAGTGACACAACTGCACTTTTATACAGATTCTCCCCCTCCCCCCAAAAATTACAAAGTGCCTCTTGATTGCATCAGGAATGTAAGTAGTTCCTTCTTACAGAATTACTCTACTGAACAGTAAAACGGTATTATAATTCACGGGATACGACCTTGTATAATACAGGCTTTTCAAAATTTACACTCGGCATACTTATAAATTACTTTATATCCATTAAAATAACATAATACTAATCTGTAGTCCACACCTTTCCCATCATAAATACAAATACTCGGTTCAAGAAGTGCAACTTTTATATGACCTAAGAAAGCTGATAAATAGGCTTTAAGGGTTGATAGATGGACAGACAGACGGATGACAAGGTAACAAGTCTCCTTGGTGAGGCTTTTGTGAAAGGCCTGAACCAAAACATTAACAAGATCTAACAGACCCATCTCCACAACCATCATTTTGTCATTTACCCCTTTAACACCAGATCCAATGTAGCAATGGGGCCAGGGAGAATGGGTCACAAGTATTCTAGAGGCAGAAAAAGACAGGGCCTTCACAGAGAGCAAGGCCAGCGTGATAATGAGGACGGTGCTGGAGAGTGGTTACAATGTATGTGTGTGCACTGCACACTATCAGGTATGGAACCACAAACTCCCATGTCTAGCTCTACACCATGGGGGAAAAATGTGGATATGAAAGCCATCTGGAATGTTCCTTTACAACTAAAACTCTCAGCTTTGAACACACCCCGTGGATCCCTTCTACTTCAGCAAGTGCTTGTGAAAGATACACACATCCACTCGCTGCAGTGAAGCACACAGCTCACAGACACCAAGGGGTCGGGACCACCTCTTCTCTGCACTTTGTCTTGTCAGGAGCTTGTCCCTGACCTTGACAACCTGTAATGGAACACAGAATGATGTTCACAACTCCCATCCCCCAGCAGCGTGAGAGCTGGGAACTGGGGGCTCTGGTATCTGGTCCCTTGGTCTCAGCGTCTCCTCTTAACTGAGGCTCACAACTCTCATCATGATTTAAGCCTGCAGTGACATTGTCCAAAAAGAAATGTACTCTCTACCTGACTTACGTGATTGTAACCCCTCTGTATATCACCTTTATCAAAACAGAAACATTTTGGGAAAAAAAAAGCCTGGGGTGGCCAATCATCAAAATGGCAGGAGGTCCAAAATGTTATGGCCCTGAATCCAGCCTGTATTTGCTGATATTCTGCCTCAATCCGAGATGGAGAATGAAATGACACTTCTCTGCCTTGTTGCATTCCCACGCCGTGTGCATGGTCACACAGACACAAGCAGAAAGCCTGGCTCTGCAGAGTGCTGGAACTGTGGGACAGGGCTCCAGCCCACACTCGCGCTGAGGCTTCAACTGTGGTGCAGCCCCAGGCAGCTGGGCAGAAATTTGCAAGACTAAAGCTAAGAAGCTGGAGGAGGCACAAAGCTGATGGACAGGAAGGGAGGCCCCGGTCTGTGAGCGAGTGTGGCAGTTGCCACTCTGTGCTGACAGGAAGAGATGGAAGCAGAGCATTTGGTTCGGCAGTTCTGAGAGTTGTGGCTTCATCTCTCTGTCGGGCCAACCATGCCCATGGCCCTGAGAACACTTGTGGAGATTCTTAACAATTGTGGGACCTTTCCCCATCCCATCCTGACAGCTTGTTAAATGACTAGGAATCCACAAATCTAGCAACTAAAACAAGTATTTATTTAATTTTATCCAAATTCAGGTCTTAGGTCCCTGAGAAAAATTATAAAGTCTCTCAACATCCAATCATCTAGCTGGCAGAAAGTGACCTATTGTACGTAGCAAATTCTTAACTGTTCCAAACTTATCTTCCAGAGTCCCCAAAATGAAAAGATAAAACAACAGAAAAAAACAGTCCAAAGAATGGATGGGAAGATGTGTTGGGATATGTTTCCCTGGTATTCTCTCTGGAACAAAGGGAAGTTTTCAATGGGGTGTCCTCAGTTTCTAAGGCCTCTGACCTCTTGAGCATGTGGGGGTGGCAGATACACCTGGCAGGAAGTACACTGCCCTCCCTAGCACACCCAACAAGCAGTGCACAACTGGATGGAAGCAGCGCCGCCCGCGCCCCCCCCCCCAGGGCCATCCCAAGTGCCTGCTTCGGTCGCTGCTCCTAGGGACAGCATGCCCAAGGAGGTAGACTCACTGACGGTCACTTGGCAGCTTCTCAGAGCTTCCTTAGCCTGGTTCCAGTTCTCAGCCCAAACCAGGCCAGGGCAGACTCCTCCTGCTCCATGCAGAATGACACCTAGGTCTGACGTGGGGCAGTGGGAGGAGACACTGCCTTCACAAAGGACTTTAAAGCATTATAAGAGGGAAGAACAACCAAACTTCTGGTTACAGGTGGCAAAGGCTCTTCTTCAGAACAGTGCATGTGATAGTTAGAAAAGATGTATTTAGTAACTTTAAAAGTAAACATTTTCACATACTATCTCAAGAAAGGATGTTCTGTTTTATATACATTATAAATAGCAAAAACCGATTTCTAATCCCACAAATGCTAGGAGGCTTCCGGTAACTTGGGTGTATGGAGACCATGGGGGGTGAAGAACATGGTCACGTGCACCCCTGTCCAGTGGCCCCCAATCTGCACGAAGAAATTCCATGGGAAGGAGGGAAGCACAGGTTAGAATAGGCATACTGTACATATATATTTACAGTAAACTTCAGTAACCAGTATATTAACAAAATAGCTTCAAGTAGTCCTCAATTTTTTTTTTCATCTATTTAATACTGATGGTCTGAGGAAAAGAAGATAAAAGTTAGATGGGCCATACTAAAAACCTAAAAAACAAAACAAAACAAAAAAACCAACTTGGCAGCTTTCTGTAACACTTATTCATGCAGTGTGGCGTGGATTGTTCGGGAGTGGCGTGGCTGGAGAGGCTCCTTCGCAGCGGCCTGTCAGTTTAGTCCACATGAAACCATACAGAGACCCCTTAAAACTCTGTGCTATTAAAGCACGAACAACAGAACTAGAGGAATCTGACACTAGGATCAGGGATCGCAGAACAATATGGCTACTGAAACATGAGCCCGTGCGATGGATTTGGCAGAACCTAACCAGGAGTTAAACCAGAGCTGATTATCATAACACCAGCCATCTCTTCTCCATGGCATAACAGGCACTGGAGACATGCTCCGATGGCTTCGTGAAAGCAGCGTGTTTTACTTTCCCCAGAATATAATGTGGAGTGTTCAAAATTTTTAAAATAAAGGCTTAGGCTGTTTATAAATCCTTGGAAAAAAGACTGCATACTGCCCTGGCTCCTAACTACCCTAAAATAACCCAAAGGCTTTCACTTTCATGGTTAAGCTTCCTCAGGACCCCAGTGCCCCTCCCTTCCCGTCCAGCACCTCTCTCTGTAAGGGAAGGGGGTGGGGTGGGAGACAGGCAACCCCTAGCTCCAGGGATCCCCCCGGGGAAGGGAGGGGGGCCTGGTTTAGTGAACTCTTCATTCAAACAGAGCTGCCAAGGCACAGCTGGCACCACCCCAGCAGGCTTCCAGACGGCCTTTCCACTTCTGCAGGAGGCCAAGGAAGTCAGCACGCAGGTCTTAGCCCTATGCTGAGAAAACACCGCCACTGCTGTGGATGGGCAGAAGAGGCCCCAGGACGAGACGTGTTTTTGTTTTTTTTACAAGTCTGTGAGGGACGCGCATGTGTCAGCTCAGACCATAAACTCATTATTGCCACTGAGGGCGAGCTGCTGGGCTGAGCTGGTGTCTGGATCTACATTCTTCCTTCGACCAGGCAGGACTGTCCCCTCTGGGGTCTCTTTGGTTTTCTGGGGTGAGTTTTTCACATTCTTTAGTTTCTGCTTGCCCTTTTCAGGGTTGAATGTTCCTCTGCTGATAAACTGAGGCCTGTCTTCCAGAGATTTGGTCTGGCCCAATGGTCCTTCCTCACCAGCTGAGGCTGCTCGGTAGAATGGAGACTTGGAATAAATCTGGAATCGTTTTCGGGTGCCATGAGATGATGCAGCGCTGGGTAGACCCGAAGAGGCGGAGGAGTCTACCGACTCCATGGAATCCTGCTGCTTTCTCAGCTGCTTTCGTGACTTGCCCGCGGCCTTCTGGGAGCTCAGAGCTAAGCTTCTCTCTAATACAGAAACAGACCACAGCGAAATGTGACACTTCCTCTGATGCAGTGTCCTGTAATGGACAGATGTCACTGTTGCCCTGTGAAACTCGAGGAGCTAATATTGGAGGTGCAGGCTCAGCTAATTCTGTGCCTGGCCATTGACTCAAAAAGCGGTTCGATCAGTTCTGCATATATCACTCAAACAGTCAGCCCAAGGAAAGCTGGGGTTAGACTATGTGGCCAGCAAAGGCCTAGAACAGTCACCGTCATTTAAAAATCTGTCAGAATATTCAGCGAGTTGTCTTCCTGAGCTATGTCACCACCCTTAGGAAATGGGCATGTCCTGGAGAAAGTGTGGTATTATCTACCACATGACACTTGGAGGTTGGTATGACATGAAGAGGAGCTTCACAAAGACCAGAGATTCTGAGCCCCCTGTCACCTTGTGTCTGGCCAGTAAGGACGGACACCTAGCTTAGCCCAGGCACTGTATGCCTTCTCTGTGGAGCAGGTCCAGCGGCTCTGGCCTACCAGGCTCACTTACCCGATCTCTCAGAGATGCCACCTTCACACTCCATGTTCAGATTCTCTGAGCTATCAGCAGTACCAATGGAGGCCTCAGACTCTAGGGTTTCATCATCAGAGGCTCGAGGTTCCAGTACGAGCATCTCAAATGTTAGCTCTTCCCTGGGAGATACAATCAATAGACCATCAGCAGGAGAGGGTACATGCATGGAAAACAACAGGAAGAAAGTCTTTCATGAAAGTTAAGACTCTCAGTCATAAAGATAGTCGCGTTTCTTACTGTCCCTTCCAGGGTGGTCACAAGGACCTACATGAGCCAAAGCCATAATGACCACTAAAACCAAATGAACGAAGGGACAAGATGACAGTAGGACAGTAGGCCAAGGGAAGATGCGGAGGATGAGATAGTGGTGGAATGAACTCTAGACCACAATCAGGAGTTTAACATTCTAAACTCTCTGATGTATCACAAAGTACTTTCCTTTCTCTGGATCTGTTTCCCCATCCAGAAAACAAGAGTACCTTGATCTGTTTCAACAACTCACTTTAAAACCTTAATCCAAAATTCCTTTAGGTCTAAACTTTTTCTGCAATGCAAGAAATTTTCATTATAAGAAATTGCCTCAATGAGCAGATTATTATTTTTTTTTGGAGGGATCCGGTCGTGAGGCCTGAACTCTGGGCCTGGGCACTGTCCCTCAGCTCTTCAGCCCAAGGATAGCACTGTACCACTTGAACCACAGTGCCACTTCTGCTTTTTTCTTTTTGCTTATGTGGTGCTGAGGAATTGAACCCAGGGTCTCAAGCATGCAAGGCAAGCGCTCTACCCACTGAGCCACCTTCCCAGCCCATCAATGAGCAGATTCTATAGCTAGTCATTACCTGAAATATGCCAGCTCAAATCTAAAACTCAGCTCTCCACCCATACTTCCTTATCTTACCAATTCTCCTTCTCTCTTAGTCAAGTCTCTTCCATGTCAAGCCCATCAGCCTTGCTTCTGCATTACTTGGATTGAGATCCACAGACAACCTCTCCAAGGAGAGTCCCCTAGGAGTTCACTGCTATACACGCAAAGTCTCCTGGGAGCTCACTGCTCAATGCACAATCTCTCCAAAGACAGTCTCCCAGGCAGAACTGTCTCTGAGTGGCTGTGTATGCATTCTCCTTTTTCTGCTAAGACCTTTTCTTTCTTTTTTTTTTTTGGGGGGGGGGTCTGATCGTGGGGCCTGAACTCTGGGCCTGGGCGCTGTCCCTCAGCAATTCAGCTCAAGGTTACCACTTGAGCCATAGCGCCACTTCCGGCTTTTTTCTTTTTTGCTTATGTGGTGCTGAGGAATTGAACCCAGGGCCTCAAGCATGCAAGGCAAGTGCTCTACCACTGAGCCACCTTCCCAGCCCTGCCTTTTCTATAAATCCTCCAATACCTCCCAACACCATGTTAACCAGGGCAGAGCTAAGTCCTGTTTACAGATCACTTTTATACTTCACTGTCAGCCACTGGTCAGTTTACACACCTCTGCCTTAGCAGAGCTACTGTTTTTAGCTAACTTCAATCGTAGAATAAGTTAACAGTTTCACATCACCTCATGAACTTGAGCTCTCAAACCTGAGCCTGAGCTCCGGGAACAAAGATTCCTTTAAGACCTCTGCAGACTCAGCAGTGGCAACCAGAACTAGTCCAGCCACTCGAGGGACAACTACAACGTCACATGTCCCAAAGGACAGCAGAGGCGACAAAGTTTCTTGTTCATTGCTTATCTTGCACCCAGAATCCCAGTGCTGGGTCCACAGCCACGTTGATCACATGATAACAGTTCTGCAGGGGATTTTGGGTAAGGACCATTCTTGAAAAGGGCTTTGTCTCAGCCTGGGAATTCTTCCTTATTCATCAAGTCTTGAAGGTGCTGGTCCTGTACTAAGACTGATGCAGCTATGAATACTACCCTCCCTTCAACCCCACCATAGCAGTGACCCTGTGGCCCAGCTGGTGGCACTTCCTTCCAAGATGATCAATTTCACATTTTGTTTTGTTTTTTTTTTTTGGTCGGTCATGGGGCTTGAACTCTGGGCCTGGGCGCTGTTCTTGAGCTCTTCAGCTCAAGCTCTACCACAGCACCACTTCCACTTTTCTGGTGGTTTATTGGAGATAAGAGTCTCATGAACTTTCCTGCCTGGGCTAGTGTTGAACTGCGATCCTCAGATCTCAGCCTCCTGGGTAGCTAGGATTACAAGTGTGGGCCACAGGTGCCTGGCTCACTTTCACGTTTTACTGGTTACTGTCATCTCCATATCCTTGTGTCACCTGAAATAGTGCCTGATACTAAGATACTGACTAAAAAGATGGTGACAGTCTCTCCTTGCCAGACACTCACTTCTCTTTCTGGAGGCTCTCTATCTGCTCCGTCAGCACTCTCTCCTCCTGCTGCATAGCGGCCTGCTGCTGCTCTGTGACATCAGTCTCCATGGCTGCCTCACTCATCAAGGTCTCTTCTGGGACATCCGACACAGGAGGCAACCGGACTAGGACAGGGGAGGATGGACTTGGGTAGTTCCCTCGGCGGATCCGCCCCTTGCCCTGCAGAGAATGATTCATGTGAGACAGTAAATGGACAGAGGCTCAGTCTTACATTGTCCACTGAGGGTGGTGATGCATGTACCTTGGTCACATGTTCGGAACGACGGGAGTAATAGTAGCTGGGATACTGAGGGAGATTTACATCCAACACAATTAGTGAAGACTCCTTACGGGAGCACTGATAGGCAGACACTGTGGTGGTAGAGTGTAAGAACAAGCCACATCTACACAATCTGAATAAGGAGCCATGCACGACTCCTTAAAGCTAGTAAGGATTTAAGGTTATGATCTGTAGTTCACTGGCCACTCTCAAGTGCTCAACAGCCACAGGGAGAGAGCGGGCACCGTTCTCAACAGTGCACAGTAGTTGTGGCCAGCATCAAGGAGGTTCTGAGGGCAAGTGTGCCATGACTTTAACCTTGGAAAGCTAATTTTTAGGAAGACCACAGAACCGTATCACAAATAGCCCTATCTCACAGTGCTAGGGAGATATTTTTCTCAAGATATTTCTATCCTAAAGAACAGAGAAGAGCAAAGTCTCGTTGTTTTAAATTAACTTACACATGACCTTAGCATCTGGTAATGGCTTACTCAGATTAATTCTCCTGCTAAGAAAACAACTAAGACAGCCCAGGAGGGGCTTGCCTAGCACTGAACATTCATCTGTAGCTTGGAAGAGGTGGCACAAATGCGAGTAGAGCTTCTGATAGAATAAAGCTGCAGCTCACAAACTATGGCCCATAAGCTACATCTGGCCTTATTTATGTTTTTGTACATATTACAACCCCTTTATTAGGGGTTGTAATAATATCCCTCATGCTTGTAATCCTAATTACTCTGGAGGCTGAGATCCAGAGTATTAGAATTTGAGGCCAGCTTGGGGAGAAAAGTCCAGTAGATTCCATCTCCAAAATAGCCAGCATAAAAGCAGGGCAGGAGGCATGGCTCAAGTGGTAGAGCACCAGCTGAGCAAACAAACCAAGCAAGTGTGAGGCCCTGAGTTCAAACTCTAGTACAGAACATCCCCGCTGCACTGGAATGCAGACAGCATTAACTCGCTTGTCTATGGCTGCTTCTGTACCGCAGTGATTCTAAGGTCCACAAAGCCAAAAATATTTACTCTTGGGTCCTTAAAATTCTGCCAACCTCTGGGGTAAGGAAGTATGACACCTAAATGCCTAACTCTAGACCGAAGGATAACTAAAATTCTCACAGCTTCTGCAGACACTGCTACCTGGGTTGTCTGAATAGTCTAGAAAACTGGGATCTGAAAGCTGCACTGCAGTTTTGTTAGTGCCTTAGGAGCTGTCAGAAAAAAACAAAATTATTCTTTGGAAGAAATATCCCAGGCCTCATATATTTACAAATAATTTTTCAAATAAAAAGTAACTAAGCATAAAAGGTGGTAAGACAATGTAAATGAGAACTAAAAACAAAACAAAAAACAACCAGAAAACAAAACCCCCAGTGACTCCAGATATTATGATATTGTGCTGTCAAAGACTTAGGATAACCATGCTGAAAAAGACAGGAAGACATTAGCTGAACTCATAGACTGGAAGTTAGTTCAGAAGAAAAATCCAGACAGATTGGGAGAAACAAACAATTGGCAAAATTCATAAAAGAAGGTACAAGTGAAAACACAACAAAACAAAGACATAGTCTAAATGGGACACTGAGTGAGGAGAGGAGACACTGATGAGACACACAGCAGCACATTTCTAGGAGGAATTAAAGCCTAGTTTAAGTTTAAGAAGCCTATATTTAGATATACAGCTGCTAAAAACTCAATGTGAGAGAAAATCTTAAAGCAGTCAGAAAAAAAAAAACAAAGGACTTGCAACCAAGAAGCACCTATTAAGAGTCAAAGCTCAACCGAAATAGGATGACATTTTCAAGATAAAAGGAAAAAGTGACTGCACTCTACATCCTAGAACTGTTACTATTTTGGGGTACTAGTGTCTAATCGCTTGGTTTTGTGCTTTTAAGGCAAGTGTTGGTACGCGTGTCCACACACACACACACACACACACACACACACACAATTTTTACAAAGCCTTCTCCTTAAGCCCAACCTTGAAGTCTATACTTAAACAACCTTCAGGAATAAAGGTGGAATAAGGACATTGTCTTGGAGCCAGAAGACCTGTGCTAGAGAAAATACTTAAAAGGGTAAATAGAAAATGACTCATGAGAAAAAGGTTGAAAGGAGAAATAAAAGGAAGTGAAACAGTAAATATGTAAGTCTAAACCAATTCTGATTGCATGGAGGAGGATGATGTGGGTCTGCAAATGCAGACAACTGAGGTACATGGCCACAGCACAACTAAGTCACATGACACCTAATGCCAAGCCCTGGCACATTTGAGAAAATGACATTTTTAGAAGTACCAATTAATAGAGTTCGATAAGTTACACATTTAGGATGTAGTTGTAGTGACTTTAGTTTAACTGCTAAAGAACAAAAAAAAAAAAAAGGAAAACTTCTAACATGAGGAAAATAGAGTAGATAGTAGTTGCCAAAGAAAAGGTCAGAAGAAGGACAAGGAACATGAGGTAGGACAAAAAGCACATAACAGTAAAGTAGCAGATCTTCAACTCAAATGTATGGGTGATTTAAGTGAAAATGTGTCTCGTAACTCAAAGGTATGTAGGGTCTCAAAACTATAAAACAATTTGATGAATGGAAAGAGATGTTTATTAGTGGGAAAATCAATGTAGTAGGAAAATCAATATTGTTAAGTATGTCAGCTCTCTGGAAATCAATTATATATTCAATGCAACCTGGAAAACACATGGAGCATGATTGCTAAGCTCATTTTACAGCTTAGATGGCAAAGAATAGTCAAACACTACTGAAGAAGGTAAGATAACTTTTCACCAGTATTTTTTAGAAAGCTATAGTAATTGAAATAGCATAACATGCCTAGAAACAGACCGGGTTACAAAGATTGCGGATATGTAACTAAAGAGGAACTGCACGGAAAGGAGGTCTTCTAAAAGATGATGGGAAAACCAGCTATCCATGCAGAAATGTCAAAACCTCACCCTTCTGTATACCGATTGTACCCCATAAGAAAGTGCCTCTAGTTGAAGAGTATAAATATAGAAGACAAAATGTTCAAACATTAAACATCTAAAATACCTAAAATATCTGATATCTTAAAAATAATCTCCAAAATACTAGTCTAAAGCCTTAGATAAAGTCACACAATATTAAAACTAAGAACCTTCATCAAGACACTTTAAAAATGTTTTATTAAGCTGGGAGCTTTTGGCTCATGCCTATAATCGTAGCTACTTCAGAGACTGAGATCTGAGGACCACAGTTTGAATCCAGCCTGGTCAGGAAAGTCTGTGAGACTCTCATCTCCAATTAACCACCAAAAAGCCAGAAGTGGAGTTGTGACTCAATTGGTAGAGTGTTAGCCTTGAGCAAAAAAAAGCGCAGAAACAGAACCCAGGCCCTGAGTTCAAATACCAGAACCAGCACCATTAAGAAAACGTTTATATTTGGCAATATTAGGGATTGAATTCAGGCTCTTAAGCTCACTAGAAAATTACTCTATCACTTGAGCCATTCCCCAGTCTTTTTTGGGGGAAGGCAAGATTTCACTATGTCTAGGCTGGCCTGGAACTCACAATATAGTCCAGGCCTTGAACTTATGATCCTCCAACCCCCACATCAGGAGGGCTGGGAATACAGGTGTGCGTCACTATGTCGAGGTTAAGAGAGTAAAAAGGAAGCCATAAAGTGGAAGCTGATATTTGCAACAGGAGCAGTCAATAATAGGGCTTGTATTCAAAAGTTCATCAGAATCACAGGTCATTAGGAAAACAACTGGACAGCTCAATTAGGAAACAGGCCTGTTACAAGGGGACACCTAATGCCCATTAAATGCACAGAATAGAAATGCAGAAAGTCTACTCCAACATCACAAAATGTCCACTCCGACATCACCCCATACATATATACACACAGTGTCCACTCCAATATCACCACACACATACAAACAGCAGTGTCCACTCGACATCACCACCCACAACAGTTTCCACTCCATGCCCCCCACACAAAGGCACATAAACAACCAATACCCACTCCAACATCACCCCACATACGTGCACATACAAAATCGTGTCCACTCTAACATCACCACACACATGCACACACACAACAGTGTCCACTCTGTCACCACCCCATACGCACACATACGCAACAGTTGCCATCAGCACTAGACTGGAATGTACACACACTGGAATAGTACACAACACCAAGAGGAGTTACAACACAGCAAACACAGTTCACACTAGATCAGATTTGTACAATTTGATTTATATAAAACTTAGAAATAAGCAAGGCAAAACTATGGCACTCGGGATACATACTGTCGTAGAAAACCAAAAAACAGGAAGTGGTTCACATAAAAACGGGGAATAAGATTGTGCTGGGAAAGGGCTAATGGCAATATTCTATTTCCTGACCTGGGGTAGTAATGGCAATATTGTATTTCTTGATCTGGGGGTGGTATGTAATGTTGATTCTACTAACCCACTAAGGTGTGCATCTGTTTCTGAGTTTTCAATACATGTTGGGTTTTATAATAACAAGGTATTTTTAAAGAGTGATTTTTCAAAGTTATCTAGTTACTCAACTATATTAAAATCCTTTGAAAATAAGCTGACAAAATTTTAATCTATTTTGGAAAGAATCAAATTGATTCTTTCTTATGTTGTTGTGCCCAGGTACAAGATGAAGCTGGAGGATAATTCTACAGGCCTCAGGCTAGCTCACACAAAGCTAAAGCATGCCGTGGAATCCCAACCAGGATTACAAGACTTCTATTCCATTTGTGGCTCTAAGATCATGAAGTAAACCACATATTGAGAATAAAGGAAGACTGATCAAGGGAAGGAGCACAGGGTTTGGGTTAGCTTCAGCACACAATCTGCACAACTGTGTACTACCATGGAGGAAATTCCAGGACACTCAACTCCACTCT